CAACCACGATATAATTGTCTTATTTGAATTTTGGATTATGGTATGGTGCGTTTAACCATCGCCAAACCTAAAAATTGGACGATTAGTCTATCTTCGGGAAATATTGAAGAACTTGGAGAATTTTTATGTGTAATCTTCTTTTGATTAGTAACATATAATTAAATACTAAATTAGTTCTACAGAAACTATATATAAGGATTAAATATGAGGCTGAAAGTGCAATGAAAATAATACAAGAGGTCACCAATTATTTATTTATTTATTTTGACATTTACGCCCTTCGTTTAATGTTCTTAGTGTCATGGATGAATGTTGAGAAGAAATTCAATGGACAAATCAATTTAATCGAATTCAAGGTTGTCTATAGTGGACCATATGTCGAAAATGACGAGGAACCCAACTAAGAAATCCGGATTATGCTGCATTATCAGGGCCTACGTGGACCTGTTAAGGGGGTTTAACCTATGAAATCCTTCTAAGTTTTTGCTTCCTTGGGAAGCTACTAGATGCAGCAAAATTACATTAAGGGCATGTTCGGTAGATATTCAAATCGGATTAAAATTGAAAAATTAGTCGTTATTGTTGACTTTTATTAGATTAGTGAGATCTAATAACTGCTATATTTTCAATTTTAATTGGATTTTAAACACGATCGAACGCGCACTAGATGTGATGACCCATAGAAACCAAATTTTAGATTTTCTTTACTGCATAAAGTTGATCAGGGACCTTATCAATATGAAACATGCTACATGTGCAATCATTATTGCTTTTTTGTATCAATATTGACTGGACCAGAAAAGTTGTTATTGCGACCATTTATTAGGTAATTATAACTAATAAAACGAATAATTTATGATCATAAATGTTATGTGACATAAAAAATTGGAATTTGTGAGTAAAATTTGCAGCTGTGACCTATAATTTGTGACTTTATGATCGATAAATAAGTTATGACAAATTAATGTGATAATGTAAGACTGAAATAAGTTGTGATTAATTAATTTGATAATCTATGATTGTACAATGAGTTGTGATTAGTTAATTTGATAAGTTGAGAGCAATAATTTGTCCTATAAAAATGTCTAATTTGCAACAAAATTATAATTGAGAAGTACAAATTGTATTTTTTTTTTTTAATGATTGTGACATTTTATGGTTTGTGACTAGTATGTTATTGCAATTATTGATTGTCATGTACATGTAGATGAATATTTTCATCTTTTTAATACTACAAATGATGTTTTTTATGTTAATATCATCGACAAACTATTTTCTAATATTTCTATTCAATTTAGGCTAATTTTTTATCAAATAAAATTTGTGATAACAACTCATAATAAGATAACATGTCACAATCAACATATTATGGTCACAACATGTCACAATTAACACAGACTTGATTATATAGAGTCACCATTAACATAAGTCACTGTTAACATATAAATGGTTACAAACTTTTAAATGTAAATACACTGTCACAAACATTCACTATTAACATATGTCTGATTATACATGTTATTGCTAACATATACTTAGTCACATAAAGTCACTGTTAAGACAACTTTGGTTACATGCAGTTACAATGAAGATAAATTTAGTCATAGGTGGTCACAGATAACATAAGTTTGGTCACAAACAATAACAACTTACACTCACTCAAACTCAGCTACTTCTTGTCGATGAGAGCTCCGTCATTCGACTCCCTATGATGGGAAATTCTCAATGCCAACAAAAACAACAACCCAATTGAACCAGATTCGCTGATTGTTCATTGTGAAGGATCTACTAGAGAGAGATTGGGGATGGGTATGATTGATTGGAGAAGCTGTATAAAGAGAGATCCGTTCGGATTGGGGATAGGTACGGTGGATTGGAATATTTGTGTAGAGAGAGAATTTGTGTAGAGTTCTTATGGAATTAGGTTTCCCAAATTTCATACATAATAATATCTTATAAATATATATAATACATTCTTGTTATTTATCACATGATTTTTGAAATATTTCCATGTGGCTCTATGTGTTGGCTCAGCGGCAGTTTTCCATGTGGAGCCACTTATTGACGTTATGGCTCACCAAATCACTCTAATATTTTAAAATTAAAATTATCTACTCGCACTGGTGGACGCATGGGTGGACCGGGGCACGTGCCCCCAACTTTACTTTGCTTTTTTTATTTTTATTTTTATTTTTATTTTCTATGTTTTTTTTCAATTTTCGAAATCATT